TATACACTAGTCACCTATCTATCTATTAAAAATTAATGATTCTTTGACTGGCATTAAATTAGACATCATACTTTTAAACAGTATAAACAGTCAGGTGACTAGTTAAAAATTAATGATTCTTTGAATGTTATTAAATTAGACATCATGCTTTTAAACAGTATAAATAGATAGATAAGTGACTAGTGAAAAATTAATGATTCTTTGACTGGCATTAAATTAGACATCATGCTTTTACAAGTAAATTATTGGAATTATATTACCACAAAACATAATTTCAATTTTTGCAATAAGTAAAGTATAAGTCCATATGTCAAACTGGTATAAAAACAACAAATTTCCAATATAAAAAATAATTTTATCTGCATTCAGATCAGCATTTAATCTATTACTTTTATAGAGAAACCTTTTACCACAAACCATTTGATGAAAATACAAGAAATTTCCAACAATGTGTAAGGTATTTTCTTAACTACTCTAGCTCAAAGCAAACAGATATTGAGCACTGTTTCAGAAAAAGACCATGTGTTTAAGGTAGACTTATCATAACAATATCAACACAAGTGACTTTATATTTACCTTTACAAGTGCACCATGTGTTCAAGGTAGATTTATCTTTACGATCTACACCCAAGTGACTCTATATTTACCTTTAAAGTGCACCATGTGTTCAAGGTAGATTTATCTTTACGATCTACACCCAAGTGACTCTATATTTACCTTTAAAGTGCACCATGTGTTCAAGCTAGACTTTTCATAACGATCTAAACCCAAGTGACTCTATATTTACCTTTACAAGTGCACCATGTGTTCAAGCTAGACCTATCATAACGATCTAAACCCAAGTGACTCTATATTTACCTTTAAAGTGCACCATGTGTTCAAGCTAGACTTTTCATAACGATCTAAACCCAAGTGACTCTATATTTACCTTTACAAGTGCACCATGTGTTCAAGCTAGACTTTTCATAACGATCTAAACCCAAGTGACTCTATATTTACCTTTACAAGTGCACCATGTGTTCAAGCTAGACTTATCTTTACGATCTACACTCAAGTGACTCTATATTTACCTTTAAAGTCGCACCATGTGTTCAAGGTAGACTTATCTTTACGATCTACACTCAAGTGACTCTATATTTACCTTTAAAGCGCACCATGTGTTCAAGGTAGACTTATCTTTACGATCTACACTCAAGTGACTCTATATTTACCTTTAAAGTGCACCATGTGTTCAAGGTAGACTTTTCATAACGATCTAAACCCAAGTGACTCTATATTTACCTTTAAAGTGCACCATGTGTTCAAGGTAGACTTTTCATAAGAATATAAACCCAAATAATTTTATATTTACTTTACAAGTGCGTGTAATATCACCAGCTTACACAAAGGTTTGTGTTCATATAAAATACACAGTATTCAAAAGTTGAAGATAGTCACTCTGGAATGGAAGTAAAATAGTTCTTTAAACATTGACAGCTAATCTTTCAGATGAAAGTTACATTAAAATGAGCTCCACTAAATGCTTCTAGGGAAAGCTTTAGGTATTTTTTTTACCCTAGGCAAGGTTTTAAAATGCCATCACCCCTGCACCAATAATATCAATAAATGTTGGTAATGACACTTCTATCATCAATACACATTGGTAATGGTACCATTGCACCAATATCATCAATAAATGTTAGTGATGTCATCCCTGCACCAATATGATCAGTAAATACACATTACAAGAAGAAAATATTACAACTTCCAATTTAGTAGACCTATCTATCCTTTGGACTGTTTAGATTTAGAAAAAATGGATTTTCTTTATCTTTTCTAAGCTGACAAGGTGTGAAGTACTTCTTCAAGGAATAGTTTTTTGAATTTAGTGGAAGCATGTTTTATATTGGTTACCTTACAGTATCTATGTATACAGTTTGTAGGTCAGTTAATTCTGTTGAAAGTTAGATAACAAAGTCAAAATAAACATAATCAAAATACACAAGAAAAACAAAGTATATGTTTTTTACAGCACATCCAACATCATTAGTAGCTTAACAAGATCAAAAAGTACTTTATCAATTCATGAACATTCTATACTTATGATAAAGAAACTTCAAAAGTTACTATAAGCAAATAGACACTAATAAAACCTATATAGCCCCCCCAAGTGGCACAGTGGTATGTCTGCAGACTTACAATGCTAGAAACCAGGTTTCAATACCCGTGGTGGGCAGAGCACAGATAGCCCATTGTGCAGCTTTGTACTTAACTACAAACAAACAAACAAACAAACAAAAACCTATATGAAAATCCTACAGCAAGTCTCTTACAGAAACAATTCTAATCACACAGTATAATGTAATAGTTTCACGTACCAAAGTACAACCATCATAATCTAAACCAATATGCTGAGGTGTTGAAATTATCTATTTTATAAATTATTTTTGATAATTCCCATAAATTGAATCATAGGATGATAAATTCAGACACACTATTCTGTGAAAACACTCACTGGATTTGACCTTCATTATGAACAAGTTGCTCATGGAGCTAGAAAACTACAAATATTCAACAATACCTACTAGAATCCTTACAAATAATGAAGATATCTCTCTCTTGAATATTCAGGTATAAAAAATAATATAATTCTATTTTTTTGCTACAAAATGCATGTTCAAAAGGTTTTGCACCAAAACTCACTAATTATAATTTAACCCTACTCTATCAAATGATGGGTTACAGTATGGGCTCTACTTTGGCTACACCCTTGTTGCTTCAATGCTTTTAAACTGTTTGCTTCTTCTCAAGTTCCAAAAGTTGGCTTAATTTAAAGTTTATGAAAAACAATCAGCTATGAAACAATACAAGAAATCCTCTACTCAGATTCTGTATCTTTGGTAATTTTTGAATTATTTAGTTATTACTTCTTAAATGAAAGTCAATAAAATGATTTATACTTCACAAAATAAAATCTGTATACACATCAGATTAGATTCTGTCAATTTAACAAATATTCCTTCAGAAGGATACTAAATAAAAGATTTAGAAAGCAATAAAATTATTATTTGGACATTAAAAACTTTTGGCAAAGGCTAAACAGGAAGGTTTTTAACAGATGACAGTATGAAACAACATATAAAAAGCTTTTTCTTGAGATACAGTAAGAATATGAAACCCCTTCCAAAAGACAGTCTATGAATTGTTTCAACAGCATGCTGTAAATAGAAACTCATTCATTTCTATGTTATCTTGAGTCTTTTAACACTTTTGTCTTGCTTCTTATCTATTAATGATGAAAGGTATGCTTGAACTCGAGGCCAAATTTCATTTGATTCTCTTCCTGTGAACTCCTGCAGTAATCCCCTCTCCCTGAAATAAGTGAGAATCTCTGAATCCAACTGTTAACTTTATAGCTATAAAATATGCAAAATAATCGACAGAGAACAAGGAATAGTAACAAACAATTACGCTAATAATAATCAAGTAAAACTGAAAATATTTAAGTCAGAAATAGTGAGAAAAAACATATCTTTAAACTATTTTCCTACCAAGAAATCTGTAAAATTAGGGGTAGCATTAAAACTTTCTATATTACTATAGCTAGCTAGGTTACGTATATACTGACGCTTACTTCTCTTTATAAAACTAACACATTTTTGTTATACTAGTTTGTTTCCTTTTTATTAGATATGTTTTTGTGTGCCAACAATACTGAGCGTGGGGGTGTGTGTATATATACCCGATTAAATTGTATAACTCATCAGGATCCCTAACAACCTACCCTCAAATCTAATTATATGCCCAAAGTAGAGCATCATCCAATTTATATGTATACTAGTATCCTTTTTGGTACAAAAAAGGAATCATTGGGACCCCAGATGGAAGAGCTCTGTGAAAGAATTAAAGTGATAAGGTCCTTCATTTTTATAGATTCTTACACAGTAACTGTGCACCACTTTATCACTGACTATTTATTATATACAGTCACTGATAACATCCTATTGAATACATACACAAGCTTACGGAGAAACCGTACACCCCCTTATCACTGACTATTATACACACCAACTGAATACATACACAAGCTTATCAATGACTATTATATACATCAACTGAATACATACACCCTCTTATCACTGACTATATATAATAGTCATTGATAAGCTTGTGTATGTATTCAGTTGGTGTGTATAAATTCAGTTGATGACATACACAAGCTTATCAATGACTATTATATACATCAACTGATAACATTCTATTGAATACATACACAAACTTATCAATGACTATTATACACATCAACTGAATACATACACAAGCTTGTCACTGACTATTACATACATCAACAGATAACATCCTATTTAATACATACACAAGCTTATCAATGACTATTATATACATCAACCGATAACATCCTATTGAATACATACACCACCTTGTCACTGACTATTATTCACATTAATTGATAACATCCTATTCAATATGTACAAAAGCTGACAGAGTAACCATACATCAAATTATCACCGACTCTATTTATTACATATATTGACTGAAAACCAGCATTATTTGAATATGTATAAGGTGAAATAAATTAATGTGTGTGGTTCTGGTATTAAGAAAAAAATCAAGCTGCAGTGTATGTTAGAGTAGTTGTGTGCTTGCTTATAATTCAATTACGTATGTGAAGCTCAAAATTTGCCAAAGTTGATAATGAAACAGTACCTATAAAATTCCAGCACAGATGTAGATTGTTTCTTATAGTTCCTTAGTCTAGTTTCAACCGTCTCAGGTTTGTCATCTTGTCTCTGGATCAGTGGTTCTCCTGTCACATCATCTAAACCCTGTGGTGAAACAAAAACACACTCTCCTCAAGTGAAACGTTTATTTAGATGGAAGTTAAATATCATGCAGATTTTGTATAACCAGAGCACCAGTGATATTAAAAATAACAAACAAAAACTTTACAACAGGCATTAAAATGAGGCTGCCAATGACAAAATATAATAATACAAGAAAATATATTCTGTTCACTTTAGTAAATTAATTAGCTGAGGTAAATGTTCTACAGTAAACAGACATGGTTAGGTCACTTGCTCAAAATACATTCAGTGTTTTGATTACATCTTTACTCACGGGAACTTTGGGAGGTTTAAACTGTATGTGGTATGTCCTGCCACTTCCTGCATGTACCCACCGGTTCTTAACCCTTTCGATGATAACATCATCAGGTACATTTAAGCTCAAAACACACGATAAGGAGAAGTTTTTCTGAAGAGTTTTAGCCTGCGATACTGTACTCGGAAATCCTGTTTAATAAAAATATTCAAACCACATTCAGGAAATGTTACATTTCATTCTTAACATGTCTACTTAGATAAGAACTTAACTAGTTTCTCCTGTTACAAACAATGAAGAGAAAATTCCTTGTTGTTAAAATGTAATCATACAGATTCAAAGTTGGATTTGTAAAACACAAATATCAAACCATTAAAATAATCCTTATAGAATAAAAATGTTTTTAATCTCTCTACTAAACATGTTCATAAAACATGGGTTTGTTCTTAAGGAAGATATTAATTTGTTGGTTGAAATATGGAATTTCCTTCTAACTTTATATAGTTATCTGTAAGTAATGGGAAAATCACAATGAAACTAAAAAAAAATGTTCAACCTTGAAAGAATTAGTTTGTTATAATTTTTGCTTTCAACAGACTATACCACCAACCAATGGAGACTCCACACAAAGCCATGGGCTTCACACACACACACAGCCAAGAGCATCATACCAGCTGAGGATTTCCCATAGGAGTAGAAAGGGCTGGAGCTCTTGGAAAAGTCCTCAATTGCCAACATTCCCAGGTTGGAAGGTTTAGAACCAACATGGTGAAATGGGGGTACTCCAGCGGACCCACTGTATGAGACCGTGGCAAGAGGCAGACGATGCAACACCTACTCGTCTGTCCACAACTCCAGGTCTCATTCAGAGCAGAAGACCTCGCTGTAACCAGTGGACATGTTATCAGATGTGAGCAGCATTGGATGGAAATCATATAGGGATAGATGGACACAACAAAATGAAGAACAGAAAGCATTCTAGAAACTCCCAATAAAGCAGAGTGTAGACGTATAAATAACTATTTGCAACAGTACACTTATATATGTGATATTTCCTACAGTAGGCAGAACATTTTTTATCAGCTAAATCAATCAACATGAGACAAGTTCATGTAATGTTATGTTTAGAATACACTCAATCAGCCCTAACAATAACAAAGAATGCACAAAATAGTAGTGAGACCAAAATCAGGGAATAAAAAATCACTTCTTAGCTTTTTACATCACTTGATAGTCATGAATATTCAGTGTCTGATCATGTAAAATAAGATGCCTAATGCTAGCATTAGCAAGAATAAGAATCAATCATCTAAAAACGAATGCACTGATCTTCTAGAGCATAGTGACACACAACACAGTTGGTATGGTAGGAATATTAGGTGCTTAAAAATAAATCCAGTGAATAAGAATAAACAGGAAAGCTCTAAGCCTAGCAGAAGTGATAGTTGTAGTAGTAATAATAAAACAAAGTAAGCGATAGCAGAATAAGGTAGCAAATAAGACTTTAAAACAGGGAAGCAGCAATTCAAACCCCTCAGATGATTCTACACTTATGCCTGACATAAGCAACAGAGCATTCCAACAGTTAAAGTAACTGAAGTGCCTGCAAGAAGTAAATTTATTAATTAACGAAGCCAAACAGTTTTAGAATCAGGAAAGTTACTATATGTAACAAAGTTCTGAAACTAGCGTATGTAACTGAGTGAGCTCTAAAACTGGTGGTTAAGTTTCTCAAGCCATCAATGCAGTGCTCTTTCGTTAGTAGCAAAGCTAATATAAGTTTAGGGTGTTTTTATGGACTTAGTGATTACATTTCAAAATAAGCAATTTTCTTTCTCCATAAATTACTAGTTAGGTCTCATTGGAATACTGTTTACAATTCTTGTACCTTTCTTTAAAAAGTCAGTTGACATATTTTAAAACAGGAGGGACAGTATGATGTTTCTGGTGATCGATGGGTTATCTTACAGTAACAGGGATGTCTCTTATCTCATTTTATCTTGTGAAAAGATGGGTAAGAAGTTATCTTATTGAAGTTTACACTGAAGACCAACAGGATAAAGGCCTCAGATTGCTTCATGCTGTATTCTGAAGACAAAAGGACACAAGTTTAAGACTTGGATAAAAAGATAGGTTAGGCTCCAGTTCAGACACTTTTGTTGTTTTTATCAGGGTGAATGGCTTATGAAATGACTTGCCATCAGCAGTAGTGGAAGCTGGCACCTCACAAATAATTTAATAGGAGAATTTATGATTTCTTAAATTTTACTTTTCTCAAGTGTAGGTAAACAAGGAAAGCCTTGAAGGACCAAATACATATAATCCAGTGTTGTCCACGAGTGATCTTAGAAAGATATGTCAATATCTAAGTAATAGGAAATAACTAATACATAACTCATGTATGTAAATACAAAATAATGATTTTAAGCTACTGCAATTACTATTACATAACAACCTTACCATCCAACAACCAGTTTTTATTCTTCAAACTAGTATGTAGTTCTGCAAGAATCAACTGGACAACAAGATCATCTGGAACTAGCTCTCCTTTTTCAATATACTGACTGGCTTGAACACCTGCAACTGAGTTGAAGAAATATACTTGACAGACTCTTTTCTCCTTTGTCATGTATTCAGTGTTCTTACTTGGCATATTTTATGTAGATGGTTTTCTTTAATAATGATTTTTTGCATAAATTGCCCAATAATAATAAAAAAACTTGTTTATACACAAACTCTTAAATTTTGAGTTGGATCTACTCTACAACATTAAAAACTTGTATTATTATTAAACAAAGTATTTTTATCCACACTCAGTACATGTACTAATTTTTCTAAGTAGAGGTAATGAAATTAGTTTGCTTGAAATACTTTTGGAAAAATGTGGTATAGAATACGTGTGATAAAAAATTTCCTAGTATTGCGAAAACGTTAATATCAAAAATTGTAGCTAAAACTATATTACTAGAAGCTGAGAACTGTCCAACCCGTGTGAATTGCCGCACACTATATCAGAAAATAATGATGACTGATTGATACTACTGAACTTGCTGTTTACATTTTGATATGGAATAAAAGTTGATATCTAATATCAACCATGAATTGAAACTTACTAGTTCCTTCCTGAATCTGTGCTCTAAGCAAGTCGCCACTGGAGAGATGTGTAACCACAAAGCTTTGTGCTATACGGGATGAAATCGTTCCCTTACCAGAACCCGGTGGACCCATAATTACACCCCTGAATACACGTGAAATCATATTTAATCTTATAGCTTAACTTATTTACATTGGGATTTTCATAAACAACAAGCAAGAAAAAGCTTAACAACTAAATAAAAATAACGACATGCTCTACTAACACAGTAACAGATATTCTATAACACTTTGATTCTTTCAATGAAGATTACATCCCTAAATCTGCTGCCATCTGTTGTTGAATACTTCAAGTTACAAATTATCATCTAGCCATAAATTTAACATCTACAAATCGTCGATTAAATTAATTCCAAAACAAGGGTTACAGTTACAAAATAAACTGAACTATTTACTTAGATCTAGAAGTTTTAAGTTTTTAGTACAAAGGGTTAAACCACACACACACAAAATTTCTTCAAAATCGTTAAGCCTATTAGTATTGTTACGCATGCATGCGTGATTGAATTTCTCGAATTATAGGGAACTCCGCGAATTTTGGAGAAGCTTCTTTGTTAGTATATAAGCCTGGTGAGAAAAGCCAGCAGAGTGAAGCGAACAGTAGTCACGGTGAGTTGCGGGTAATTTACGGTTCTGTTTCGAGCTAGTGTGTGTTTTGCACACGTACAGAGCGAAATTATCGAGATTGTGAATCGCTGTGATTTATAGCGTGTGTTATAAAAGTTGTTAAGTTGAAAGTAACGAGAAACGTACTGACTGTGAAATTACTGTGTACAAAAAGTTTGTATATATAAAGAATAAACTGGCTTAATCTGGAAAGGACTTGTATCACTGAAGTTCCTCAGAAAGAATTTTTACTGGAAATTAACAAACAAACAGATACATAACAGTATTATAATTATAAACACTACATTTTTTTTCAGTCCTTTAGGGTATTTCAAGAAAAAGAAGAGAGTATGATAACATTTCAACTACACAACATCCACTATATCCGCTACCGACGATACATTTTCCTCAATACAGAAATATTCAGGCTGAAAGAGACACAGTAACAAACACGATAGTGTTAGTATTGTTGCGTCATCGAGATCACGTGACTATTCTCACGCCCTCTACTTTCTAGAACTATCCTGTACTTTGGCGAATGATGACAACGTGAATGTAATGTAATGTGTGTGTAGACAATGAGTAATTGATCTGCAGTCAGAGAGTATTATTGAGCACGTTCGTTGTTATAGCGTTTGTTTTAGCACATTTGTTGAAATTAAGTGTATCGTAAAGTTATATTCGGAAAGAATAAACCAGTTTTACTAAGTAAGAACTTGTGTCGCTAAAGTTTCGTCGGAACGAAGTTACGGAAAGTTAATTAACAAACGGAGACGTAACAGTATGTTAGCATGATAATACATCATTTCATTCCAGGTTAAGGCTGGTGGGCCACTAGAGGGTTACACCCTCTCTTCAGCCAAGTGATGCAATGCAAAAAAGTAGAAAGTAATAAAGGATGTATGACTAGAAGAAAACTGTGTTAAAGGAATGGAAACACTGTGACAAAACAAAAAGAAATGAGAAATGTGTTGTATGATGGATATGAGGTTCGTAGATTTCTGGATTCATGCTACTGCATGTGGGTGTTGCTTCAATTTAATTTTGTGTTTTTTAATATTTTATTCTTGATGTATATGCGTATAAATGTGTGTGCGTGTCATTATTTTTGTATTTGCCCCTCCCTTGGTACAGCAGTATGTCAGTGGACTTACAATGCTAGAAACCGGGTTTCGATACATGTAGTGGGCAGGGCACAGATAGTCCTTTGTGTAGCTTTGTGCTTAACTACAAACAAACAAACTTTTGTATTTCTATTTATTTATTTTTAGTAATAAATAAGGAAGACCAGTTACACAAGATTATTTCCATGTGCTTTGCAATCGAAGTGGTGAATCCTCAAGGTAAATATAATCTGGGATATCTGGCATTTGGTGGTCAACATAATCACGATCATTGGAAGAGAGTGACGTAACATGTAGGTTCAACAGATGTTGCAGAGGAGGTATAAGGTAGAGAGACTGGTGGACGAGATGATCAAGCATATCAGCAAAGATAACATTTTAAGTTTGGAAACATTGTTGGATACAATTAAGACGAAGGCTCCAAAGGTGAACAAGTAATTACGAAAACTGAATACAGTCATAAAAGTCTTTAGTAGGACAAGGTAGCCAGATGTGAAATATTAACACGAGTGTATGGTGTTCCAAAACCTGCAAACGAAGACAAAATAAAGAATAAGCAGAAATCCATGCAGTGTGACCATAAGCAGGACCCGAGGTCAGTAATATTATTGGGTCCCCCTTACATTCTGTTTATTAACTTTTGCTGAATTATCATAAAAGAAATTTTGTTGACAAATTTCTTCATAAATCCATGAAAAGCAGTAGCCATTTTAGCTCATCAAGTAGTATGGATTTCTAGTGAGCTTTGGAATATCCCACTGCAGGGCCCCTCAACAGACCTGGGGCAGCTGCCCTCTTGCCCTCTCTCGTCAGCCAAGACCATAAGTAGACAAAGACAAAGGAAAGCCTTATATCTGTAAAGAAGTAAAGGAGGGTTTAAACCACAAGAGGTACCAGACAGGCAACAAAGAAGCTTCAATTGAGAGGTAACTTCATTATTAAAAAACTAGATGCAGTTATTAGGTAGGATGCTTGTGAAAAGTTTCTCCAACATATTTTATAATGTCAGAGAATTTAAGAAGAACATCCTCAACACGAATATTAAATAAAGATGTGTCATGACATTGACGAAACTTGTGTCACATTGGGCCAAAGAAAATAGTTCTGGCTTTATGAGCATTCATGGTAAATTGCCAGCAACAACTTCACACAATGAAGTTATTGTTGACAATAACTTATAGGATCTGTTGAGAGTAGCCATCGTTTAACTGATATAGAGAAATAGAAGGAGAAGGAAGGGGCATGTCAGAAACATACTGCACATAAAACAGTGGTGATAAAATGGAAACTAGAAGAACTCCAGAACTTAGGAAAAAGATATGGAGTGAGTACCTTTTATAAAAACTGTGGTGTAACGATCCAGAAGAAAAGAGCGAACAAATAGGACATACTTCAATAGAAGTTTCAGACATATGAACGTTTAAATTAATCCCTGAAACCAGACAAAGCTAAAACTTGCAAACCAAAGAAGAGGAAGACAATATAGCATAGAAGTGTTAAAATGGTTGATAATAGCATCATATAACATGAAGAGCTGGCCCACCATTGAAAGATGGGAAGGGAAGCTGGTTTGTGTGTGTGTGAGAGAGAGAATGTTACAGTGAATGATATGAGCTTGGAGTCTGCAAATGACACTTTCAAAATTTTGCTAAAACACTAGTTGGGCTAATGGAATGATCAGAGTCAATATTCATTGGAAACTTAGATGGTTTCAAGAAAAGTAGAACAGTGGATGTTTTCCGATAATCTGCACCCCCCCCCCCCCAGTGGTACAGTGGTATGTCTGTGGACTTACAATGCTAGAAACCTGGTTTTGATACCCATGGCGGTCAGAGCACAGATAGCCCATTGTGTAGCTTTGTGCATAACTACAAACAAATCAACCAACCAATAATCTGAGTAAAAGCCAGTGCAAAGAAGGAACTTATAGAAGAAGAGTAGAAGAAGCAGGAAATGGGCTGGAGCATGTTGAAGATGAGAATAAATTTAGCCATCAAGACCAGTAATCGTGATACGCCTTCCTTTAAGAGGTAAGTGAATGCTCAATAAACAAACCTTTATTGCAAATGAAAAAAGATAATTTAATTACTGACGATATTTATTTTTATCTACGTAAAACTGATTCACGCACACCACAACTCTATGGCATTCCTAAACCACACAAAAAGGACTGCCCCCTACGACCTATACTGTCCACTTATGATTCATTCAACTACAATCTCGGCAAATACATAGCCTGGGCTCTCACACCATATGTAACATATGCAGGTTCATTTTTTAAAGATGCCTTCAATTTCAAATATACACTAGAACAACTAAATTCGAAAGCCTTAATGGCTAGTTTTGATGTCGTGTCACTCATCACCGAAGTCCCCGCCAATGAAGCTTGCAATATTGCACTCAACCTCTACATTAATGACCCCAACAAGTTAAGGCACATCCCCAGCACACTTTTTGCTTCTCTCTTAGAATGTACAACGACTAAAACCAACTTCATTTTCAACAACGAACATTTCCTTCAAATAGATGGTTTAAGTATGGGCAATCCTGTTTCGCCCGTTCTTGTCAATATATTCATGACCCAGATCGAAACACAAGCCATACATTCTGCGTTTCATCCCCCACTATACTGGTACAGATATGTCGATGACACTTTTGCTGGTTTCACTTCTACAGAACACACACTACCTTTCTTTAAACACATAAATTCCATTCATCCCAACATCAAATTTACCATAGAACACGAAAACAATAAACACTTATCTTTTCTTAACCTCAACATTCTTAGATCGGACACATAGTTTAAA